GTAGGGAATCAAACCTTGGTCTCCAGAGCTGCAGTCCAACACTCAAACCACTGCACCACACTGTTTTTAATATAAGCCCAGTAGAATCAATGATATCAAACTAGCAGAGAACTGGATAATCACTCAAAAGTAACCTTCTTGTGTAGGAGTAGGAAATAAGGCCCATATGTATATATTTAGCCTACCAAAGTTTTTATTTGGTCTGTGCAGTCTCATGCTGCCACCTTGCTGAATCTTATCTATAGATTGATTGCTTTGGATGAAAATGTGTTGGGGAGAATTTTCTTTTAGCAGGACTGATATGGTTCACAAGCTGTAGCTCCCTGCCCCAGTGCTGACCACATATACTGTATGCCTTCAGCTTTGAAAAAAAGTTTTCAAATTAGGTTAAGGAGAAATGAAAACTGCCAGGTTAGTGTAATGTATTCTGTATTATCATATGTTCTTTAAAGCTGTCCCTTAATTATATCTGACCTGTCAAACTCTCACCTCTGAAACATGAAAAAATAATGAAGAAAGCAATTATCATAATGCATAATTTTTGCAAATCTGATTTAATTTTAGAATAGTGAGTTTTAATATATTAGTTTTTTTTTAGTTGGAATATTTAAGGATTGCTATGAATTTTCAACAAAGTAATCCCCATATTTTTTTTTTTAAAACAACCCTTTCTATGAGCAGATGGCTTTTGATAGAGCAAGGTTTTGCCATTTGTTTTAGTGCTTAAAATAAACATTATTTATAAGACCACTTACATTTTGATGTTACTTAATGAGGAATATGCATCATTGATTTGACTAGCTTAAGAGGTCATTTAGAACTTGCCCGTTAACAAGCTGTAATCTGCTGAGCACACAATGACTTTGTTTAAAATTATCTGTTTTGTACTGATCAATGACAATAATTGTTTGGAACCAATCACCATTGAAACTTGCTAATTACTTTGAAGGGCATACACACTTGTCTTTTCTGGAAGTGTTTAAATATTCACCTTGGAATTAAAATGTATAGTAATGCTAGTATTATTTTACTAACAAGTTTAGAAAAGCCAAGTGTGTATGCACACATGCTATATCAAGAACATCAGAAAAACTCATTACACATATAAAGAGACTGAAAAGATTACCTTCAGCTCAGGCTAGAGAGATCTGATACAGGGTCTATAAAACTGTGAGTGTACTGGAAAAGATACTAGCAAAAATATGTGTACCACTTGGGACATCCTTTCCCATCTTGTTGACCTAGAGACACATTTGTCTGTGGACCCTATAATTCTAATAATAGGTGGATATACAGTTGTGTTGTTCATGCTCTTGTATGTCAGAAGGTGCCAGAGTGTGGAAAACTGAGATAAGAAAATAGTTGTGCTGGAAAACATCTGATTAAATTGCCACGTAAAGATTGCTAATGAGGAGGGGATTATATACACAAATATTCCCAAAAATATATGTTTCTAACTCCATTTTTGGCATGTACAATTTGATTTGCCAAGCTAAACATTGCCCACAAATGGCAACCCACTAGGGGTTCTGCCCACCTAGGACAAAAATACAAAAGGATTGCCAAATAATCCTGAACTGATGGCCTGAACTGCATGATTCTGCAAATTATGTAGACAGATCCTACAATATGATGTAGATGGTGTTTTTATAAGAATATCTGTTGTGCATCCTTTTGTTTCATCCTTTTCACTATTGTTGTCATTCGTGTAAAGAATTGTACAATGCATTCTTCTGTTTTACCACCATGATGTTTTTCTGTTGCTTTACCTCCTTGATATTTTTCTGGTACTGTGCAGAAAAACATAATACCTGCTCTGTTTGGAAGGGCAGAAGAATCAAACACTTAAAACTGGCTACTTCGTGGACATTAACAAAATAGACCCAGAAACAAGAAGTCTGAAGTCCTGCACTTAATTTTAGCCAAAAGGCTGAGAATATTTGTTTGCTGTGTGGTCAAAGGCAACTAACAACCAATCATTGGCAAAAATAGGATTAATTTACACTGAATGTTTGATGATGATGATGATATTGCTCTATCAGCATACATAATGCTTTACAAGTAAAAGAACAACAAAAACCAGCAAGCCTCTTTAAGGCATACAATCCAAAATACACGCATATGCACATTTAAGGGAAGGAAAGAGTAATACTAATATAAAACTATATGTAATTGTAAAACAAATTAACCAGACAGGAATACAAAACAACAACAACAACAAAATAGTTCAATATAATGTAAAGCAAACTAACATGACAAATACATAAAACCAAAATATACAACTGATTTTTTAAAAAAAAAATAGGGAAGGAACAGTGCATGGATGTTCAATGAGGCAATTTGAGGAGTATGCAGCAGCAAGTGAAAAATGACAAAGCTGAACCAGAGAAGAGCAAACTCTTGGTTGAGTGAGAAGCCTAGAGTTTTTAGAATGCAGATTCTCAGCAGGCTGGTAAAAACAAATGAGGGCTGAAAGACAGGATCACCTAGGTCATGTAAGGCTTTTGCAATAGTACACTTGTGTTTTTTGCATTTAAATTCTCTTTTCACATGACACACGTAACCATCAGGAATAATGACCTACCATTCACATGATTTCTTACCACCATTGGTAAGTTTTTCACAGTGTTTTAAGAACCAACAATGTAAAGTAATCTGCTTGCCTGTGCTTTTTAAAAATAACATGTATTTTCCCATAGCATCAATCATCACTAGTGTTTTTGCTCTTGTGATTTGTGGCTTCATCTCCATTTTCTTCCTTGCCCTCATTTACCCTGCCCATATGTCAGCCACATTTTCTGGAATTTTTCTTCAATTTATGTGGAGTTTGACAGTCCCCCCGTTTCTGATCTCTTTCTTAACCCACTCTTCAACCTTTCTTGCCTTTTCAGTTAGGTAGGAGTTACATACATACAGTTATGGGGTCAGCTGCTGTTGACTATTACAGTTACACTGATGATTCTTCAATCTTCTGTCATGATGTCAAGACATTCGATGTCAAGCAAATATTTTCTGTAATTTGGTAATGGGACAATTGTGAGGTTTTGACCCAACTGCTAGGACCATTAAATATTATATTCCACTGATGTCTACACCAATTGTGAGGTTTTCACACCACTGGACCACCAATGTGGGGCTTCCACTTATATCCCACCACTGTATACACCAAGTATGGGGTTTTGCACTCAGACAATTACACCAATACCACCAACTGTAAGGACTCCTAGTAGGGAATCCCACCATTTTTGTCAAATTTGGGGGTATTTACTCTTAACCCACCCAATTTGAAGCCTTCTGTGATGTTCTCTGCAAAATAGAGATGGTAATTCTCAAATTTCTCCATTGTGATAGGTGTTCAGAAAAATCCATCAATTTTTCTTCCTACACTGTTGGGAGGTGTGGGAATTCTTTTTCCCATGATGACAGGAAGCTGTTTATTTAAAAGTGCCTAACTTTTCCAGTTCTCACATACTGGGCATTAGTTTCCTGCAGCTTTCCTTCCCTTCTCTTCCCCCTCCTAACACATGTTTGCACACAAATTGTCAGCTGTGAAAAGACTTTACAGCTGAAGGGGAGGAGGGAAGTTGCCCAAAGTTTACAGCTTTCATTCAAGAGCTGTAGCTTCTAGCCAGGATTTCTGTGAAAGATTGTTGGGGAGGGGGAGTGGTGGAGGGGGAGAAGTTGTGGATATTAGGCAGCTTACGATCTAGTTTCTGTTTTTCATGCAACTCCCTTCCTTCAAAGCCCCAATCCTGACAAGAGACTGTGAAAAGACATTTCAGCTGTCAAAATAGTTGAGGGGAGAAAAGGAAAGTGAAACATCTTTTTACATCCTCTAGTCAGGATTGAGGTTTGGGGAGAGTTGTAGGAAAAACAGTAACTGGATTGTCAGCTGCCACTCATCCACAACTTTCGTCCTCTGTAGCTTTCTTCTGCAACTATTTCCCGTTCCCCAATCTTTCACAGAAATCCTGGTTGGATGCTGCAGCTCTCAAAGTAGAGCTGTCAGCTTTCTAGCAACTTGACTCCTCCCCCCAAGCAGGTTTGACAGCAGTAACATCTTTTCACAGCAGTTGATTCCTGCACAACTTTGGTGCTAGGGAGGAAGAAGAGAGGGAACACTGGGGAAAACCAGCACCCAATACATATCAGTTGGAAAAGCTGAGCAGCTTTGGATTGGGAAGGCAGGAAAAAGTCCCTGCAAAGCTTCAGGAACTTTGTGGGATTATTTCTTCCTGCACCAATTTCCGAAGGGGTTAGAAACTGCAATTTTGACCCCATTTGAGAAACTGGCAAATTTCCATCCTTTCCCTACTGCAAACATTCAATGTGAGGGCTTTCCCTTATTTCCACCTCTGCACATATAAAACTTCCTCTCATCCCCCGTGTGTGACTCCCAAGGAGTCAGTTTAAATTCTTCAAGGTTATTACATGGGTTTTATCCCCAGTAGGATAGCGCTCTTCCATTTTCAGTGTTGCTACTGCACACATCTTGTCTAACAAGGCTCTCAGAATGATAGTGATTCTGGAGGACAAAAGTGTATAAAAACAACAACAAAGCTTTATTTACTGAAGTTAAGCATAAAATTGCATATTATTTATATATATTTAAAACACAATACTCTCTTCTATCAAGTTAATTTAGATCCTTATTTATCACTCAACTCAAACAATTTCTCTCACTCCAACCTGGGTTTAACTCAAATCCTTCTCAATCTCTTTTCTAGCTGTTTTCTTCTCAACCCCCAGGCAAAACCTAAAACTTCTTCTTTTCAAACTCTGTCATTCACCAACTGCTTCATGAAAATCTGCTCAAACATTCCACCAATTGATATTCACTTCAACACTCCCAACAGCTTTACCTCATTTGTTGCTGTTGTGTGCCTTCAAGTGTGCCTTCAAGTCATTTCTGACTTATGGTGACCCAAAGGTGAACCTATTACTGGGAATTTTCGGCAGAGAGTGTATGATTTATCCACAGTCACATGGTGGCTTTCCATGGCCAAGCAGGGAACTGAACCCTGCTCTCTAGAGTCAGAATCCAGTGCTCAAACCATTACACCATGTTGGCTTACCTCACATGCCCATAATAAGTTACACAATGTATTATGAATAAATGCATGACATCACAGCATTGCCCTTAATCTTTGCAAGTATTTCATTTCATTTTTGCTTTCCTTTTGTTTCCTCCCAAACCCTTGTAACCCTCACAACATTTTTCTTCCTGTTCTTGACCACAATAAGGACAGCTTTTAAAATAAGAACAGTAGGTCTCTTTGACATGTAAAGAAGTTATTGTCAAGACCATGTGGCACCTTGGTCTGGAAAATGACATGGATGTGGTCACTGAAAGGAACTGGAGCAATGGTAAGGGGGTTACAGACCTGGCTGGGAGAAGACAGTGCTATAACCTGGATGCAGGCCCTCCCAGCCAGGTACTCTGTCAGTGAGCAGGTTAGGGGAAGTGGGCGGGAGGGGGCGGAGTGGCTCTAGTTCATAAGAACAACTTGACCTTGACCAGGATACCTGTCCGGAACACAGTCCGGAACACAGTCCACTTTGAGTGTATGTACCTGAGCCTGAGGACTAAGAATAGTTTGGGGATTCTGTTAGTATACCAGCCACCCCATTGTCTAACAGACTCCCTAACCGAGCTGACACAGCTGGTCTCAGAGTTGCTGTTGACGTCGCCCAGACTTTTAGTTTTGGCCGACTTCAACATTCCACTCGAGACCAGTTTGTCAAATCTAACAGGTGCGGCTCAGGAGTTCATGGAATCCATGACAAACATGGGCCAATCTCAATTGGTCGTTGGGCCCACTCAATGTGCAGGTCATATCCTTGATGCGGTTTTCAGTACGGAATATGAATATCCATGGGTGGAGTTTATTAAAACCACCGCATTGTCATGGACGGATCATTTCCTGGTTGAACAAAGTACCACTGTCCGCCCCACTGGGAGTGGTGGACCTATTAGAATGGTCTGCCCTTGAAGGCTAATGAAACCAATTGGATTCCAGAAAGCCTTAGAGAGTTTAATGCTTGGTAATGCCAGTGATTCTGTCGAAGCTTTAATTAATACTTGGAACACCGATCTTGCCAAGGCTATCGACATAATCGCTCCCAAGCATCCTTTCCAATCCACTTCTAACTGTAAGCCATGGTACATGGAAGAGCTTAGGAAGATGAAGCAGGCTGGACAACGACTAGAGCACATCTGGCAGAAAACT